TTGGGCATCCAAGGATGCAGTGTCAGCTTGACTCGACAGGTCGCAGTAGCAGGGTAGACGCGTACTTAGCCACTAAGGCCCCTTGACGAGACAACATGTAACGGCCACCCACCACATTAATTATGTAGGCCAGCAAGGCCCCAAGCTCTGAGCCCGGGACTACCATGACCTCAAGCGCACACATGCACCACCCATGAAAGAAAGCATCTACATGATTTTCCCAAATCGTGAAGACGCTCGGGGGCTACTATCGGGGTTATAATACCCCGGGTGTCTCGAGGAAATGACTGCAAAGCCATACATGAGGCCCAGCTGACTAGGGCCTAGCGACCATAGCCCACTTAAGACATTCTGGCCCTGAGCCATATACTAGGACGCACAGACCGCAGCCCACCACAACCTCTCCCTTCTCCTTCCGCCATATGCCTTGAGGTCACGCTCGACCTCTCCCTAGCTCTGACCGCCTAGAAAGGATGGGGAGAGGTTGGGAGCCACCAAGTACACCTGCCCTGTCATAGACAGGCATGCTCCGCTCGTCCCGCCAAGATGGAGAGGACGGCCATCTCTTGGGACGTGGGATCCCAGGGCAGACACCACCCCCTGTGCACCATTGCACAGACAAGACAACACCGTAGGGCGGTGACGCCAGGTATGGCACCGCACCACCCAAACTTAATTCGGCAAGATGGGTGTACGACCCCACCCACTACAGGATGGGTCACACAACCCTGGACTTGTCCCTTCGGGATCGACCAAGCTAACAGGAACCTCAACCCGGCCCCCCGGGGTCGAGGTCAATGACCACACAATCGAGAAGGTTGATCGATGACCTAGGGCAGTTTCCTACTCCCTCACTGTCACCATGATGCCACCTGAGCTTTAAGGAACAAGGACAGAAACCATGACGCCAATGATGAGCCCATGCCACATAGGACAATTGGTGAACCATTACCATTGCCATAGTGTCACCATGACCGGCATAGTGGCACGATGCCACGCCTTGGCTTGGGGAGCAAGCCCACGACGACCATGACTGGACGTGTAGTGACACCAAGACAAGACAGGATGGATTGCTGATCAACTTTCCTAGCTTCTCCCTCCATCAGGCTCTCGACCACTCGGGTCGGGAGAACCCCACACTCTCTACTGTAACATGGCCCTCGAACTCTATATAAGGGGAGCCAGGCCTCCCTTCTAGAGGCAAACGACTCCATATAGATTCTCCCTACCTCGAATCCCTTAGCTTACACACCCCCTTGGTAAGTCCTTGAAGCACTTGAACCGAGGAACACAAACTTGCAACCCCCTCTAATACTGGACGTAGGGCTCTGGCCTAAACCAGTATAATTTCCTTGTGTCTTGAGTGCTACCATCGTCTTCCTAGAGCAGCGTGGCACTTAGAAATTTACTCATCGGTCTTCAAAACATCGACAGATCCCCTACCAGATCTCTCTCTTACACTCTGTTGTAACCCCTCGATTTTGGGTGCTCTTGAATACAAGGATCATTTGCTACTAGATGTAAGGCCCTGATAGCCTAAACTAGGATAAATTGTGCGTCCTCTCTATGTTCTTTGTGTTCTTGAGTCCACCCAAGCCACCGAAGACACACACTCAGTGACACTCGATGAACAACAATGCTTGCCGTGGTATCAACCCCGCGATAGTCAGCTAGTTGTAAGTAAACAAAAGTTGGGGCCAAAGTTGTGTAAAACAAGTTGTCATAAGTTTCCTTAGACATAATGTTAACACTTGATCCAAGATCACAAATGGCATTATGGAAACTATGAGGTCTAATGGAGCATGTGATGACCGGACTTCCCGGGTCACCTCTTTTGATGGTAAAAGGGGAATCTACTAGGTAAGATCCCTAGGAACTTAAAGTACGACCATACCTTGCAGCGATGAGGTTGGCGGTCTCCATGGATTCTTTAGGCTTGCCCATAATTCTTCCTTTCTCAAAAGACAGGATAGCAGCTGCTAGAGGAAGAGAAATCATCCAATTTAGCATTTATATTTTCCAACATCTTGTCATTAGCATGGAGCTTCTTATTTATATTATCAGTCATTCTACCCTGGCTATAAACACGATCTTTAAGGAAAGGATAACCGTTACCTTGATTACTCGGGCGTTGCGATGAGTAGTTGTTGTAACTATTACCTCCTTGGTTGTTGGAGCGCTGATTCCATCCTTGATTTTGTTGAGGACAAAACCTGTTATGATTGCTAACAAAGTTGATATCCTCATGGGTCTCGGGATAGCAATGTCCTGAATGTCCAGTTTCTCCACAAACTTCACAAGTCATGTGGGTGTCCATGGCTTGTAATGTTTCTTGGGCACTCATCATCTCACAATTTTCAAGACTTTTTGTGAGCAGATCCATCTTAGCTGCAAGCATGTCAGCTTCTTTAAGAGAATGCATACCTCTCTTGTGGGGTTGCAGTCGTTCGTTGCTCCATCCTTGGTTGGAAACCATCTTATCGATCAATGCCTTTGCATCTGTGACATTAAGCAAAAAGAATGCTCCTCCTACGACAGCATCTAAATTCTGGATCATAACGGGTAGCAATCATAACGAGTAGACCATGGTAGAAATTCTAGATCAAAAGCCAGTCTTCCATACCATGGTGTGGGCATGCAGAGACATACTCTTGCATTCGTTCCTAGGCTTCGGGAATCGATTCATCAGCTTGTTGTTGAAAACTAGAGATCTTGTTGTAAAGAGCATTGGTCTTACCTATAGGGAAGAACTTAACTAGGAAAGCATTAGAACACTTATCCCAGATATCTATAGCATTGCGGTTAGAGTAGAACCATTGCTTCTCTTTTCCCAACAAATAGAAGGGGAAAAGTCAAAGGCGTATGGCCTCTTGGGTCACTCCCTTAATGGTAAAGGTGCTACATATCTCCAAAAAGTGTTGGAGATGTGCATTAGCATCCTCGTGGGCTTTACCACAAAAAGGACTAGCTTGCACCATCATGATCAATGCGGGCTTAAGCTCAAAGTTCGAGTCCGCATGGATCGCGTTGGGACCTATGGCCACGTTATCGGATGAGGGTGTAGAAAACTCACAGATGGTCTTGTTGGCCATTGACCATGTGGGGAAGACGAAGGATAAGAGGGGAAAACGAAGGAAGGTTGCTAAAGACAGTAGAAATCCTAGTTAGCAAACCTATCGACTAAATGGTAACTCGCACCAGTTGCCTTCCCCGGCAACGGCGCCATAAATGCTTGTTGATGGTTCTTATGGGTGTATAGGATGGGATTCCGCAAGCACATGGAACTATCATGTAGCACTTCACTTGGTGAGAACCAAGTGTCGAATTTATATTTTCCCAAAGGAAGGCGTATGAGTGAGTTGGGTCAGAGGATATGTTGGCTGGGATGGTGGTGTGTCTTAGCAGCACGGGGTTGATGATTGTGGAGTGGATATGTGGATGGTAATGTGCGATGAAGGTAGATAAGGTAAGAGGAGAAGGATAGCATAGGTAGCTAGAAGTGTAGCTAAGCTAAGTGGGAGAGCGAGCGAACTATCTTAAGCAACAAAGATAAACTAATGATTAGAGAGAACTCTTTAGCACGATGGGGCGTACTTGCTCTGAACTCACCCAGAGGGTTGATTAGGCACAACAGCACAACGAGCCCTACGTTTTAATAACTAGACCCAACGTGGTGGAGTACAGAGGATAGACAGGGCTATCACCACTTGCCACCTACCACAATCTATCCTGGGATCTAGCCGTATCCACAGGCAAGATATAGCATAAGCACCACGCTTAATCTATAAACTCACTACTTCGATCCGAGCTCTAGTGAAATGAGATCGAAGTACCCTAACCAGATGGTGGAACCATACTAACGATGACCAAACTAAACAAGAGGATAACTATGATGCTAATGCCAAAGAATAAGCACCAAAGCTCACTAATGATGAATAAGAGCAAACTAGAACTTGAACTTAGCAGAGCTATATTACTGAATAAAGTACTAGAACCAAGTAGAGTACTAAATAAATTAAATGCTAAATGAAAGAATACAAGAGAGCTATACGAGACCAGAAGACTCTTCCAGACTTCGAGGTAAGCTCCGCTCTAGCTCTATCTCCACTACTAGCTAGCTACTACTTCCTAGAGCTACTACTCTAAGCTTGGAGAGCTTTGGAAGCTTGGAATGCTTAGAGATGCTTGGATTTTTCTTCAGATTGATCTTCACTAAGTTCCACACCTCCTTTTATAGCTTGTAGAAGGTGAGGGGGGTACTTGTAGGTAGCCAAGTGAGGCGGTGGGGTGACTTGGCCATTGGGCGACGCCAAGGGGCATCGACCGACCATCCATTGCACCACCTCACCATCATGCGGTGCTGGATGGCCTCCTAATGGCGATTGATGGTAGGTAAGTCGGTTGCTTCGGTCTAGAAGTTAGTAAGTAGGTCAGTTTTGGCCCTCCAAGTCGATGACATGTGGGCCATGGATCCAAGGGAGCTCCATCTCAACCCTTTGATCAAACCGACGTAAGATCAAGGGAGGAGGGGCCTCCTGGACATGCCACGTAGCTAGGCACATGGATCGGTGATATGGCAGGGGGGTAGGGCCATTGGGCGACGCCACATGGCATCGGGCGACACCACCTTATGGGCCCACACCCCTTGACACGTCCACTTGCCTTCTATACACCTCTTTTGTACATTTTTATAAAAATTCCTACATACAAATAACTTTTCCCAGTACAAGTGGAACTAGGTGAATTTTAAACATAAAATGATGCATGTGATGTGATTTTAACTTGGTTTTGGGTGGAATGTTGATGGTCTAACTAGGTGTTAGTGACCATCAACGCAGACACTTTGTTATCCTTTGGAAGCATGGAACCAAGGATAGTAATAGCTCGTTGAAGCTAGTGTCAGACCAGCCAAAACGAGCCTATAACATCAGCATCTAGAGGTCAAAATGTAGTGTCGTCCATTGGTTTGGACAGTCCTTATAGAGCAGATCAATTGCCACCTACTTCATCTCCTTAAAATTATCTAGCCACCTCGGACTCCCAAACAGAACGTCGTCATTGTCGAGGCGGTTAATTAATTCCTCAAAAAGCTCTGCATCCTTGGGCGCCGGCTCACCATCCTCATCGCCCCCGCTACCGTCGGCCAAGTCTTGGACTAAATCATTCATCGTGATGAAATAAGCATTGTCGCTAGCAACGTCGTGCTCGCCGCCTAATGATGATGAGGGTTCTCCTCCATGGTCTGCATTCACCATCGACGACGATGATGAGTTTCCTCTAGATGCACTGCCACTCGTATTTGCTTCGCTATGAAACCTCTAGACGGTGTAGTCCTAGATGAAACCAAACCTGATCAATTGAGATTGCACCATGCTGTCTTCATGGGCAAGTGTTGACGGTAATTTTGTCATAATTTTGCACGGTCAAAACCATCAACAAAGTGTCACCCTTGGAAGAAAATGAGCATAACATGACCTTATTTTATACAAATAACTTGGTTCCACATGTACATGGACTTCTGAAGCATGCAGGTTAAATATAGGAGAAAGTGGGACAAAGGAGGGGCAAACCCTAGAGTCGGCTGACCCTAGAGGGGTCGCCCGACCCCCCTTTGGCCCCCCTTGGCCCTCAATCTTGGTGATAAGCCTCCATGATCATCCGAACACACTCCCAAGCAACATCAACCATTGGATCAAGAGTGTGTTTTCTATGGGCGACTCAGAATCAAGGAACACGGATTAAATGGCCCACAAATGAAGAACCGACGTGATGAAGTGCTCCGACCACTTCATACCCACACTAGAGGTGGTGGAGAGGGCCCACAAACAAGGGGGTGGCTCCACCCATCAAAGGGGAGTCACCCAACCCCTCTTGTGGTCGGCCAGCCATCACTTTTCCACCATTCCACTCCTACACATGCAAGAAGAAGTCCCACACTTGAGGGGATGGCCCCACCTATCATAGGCGGGTCGACCAACCCTCCTATGGGTCACCCGAGGACCCATTTTCACTCATCGACATTGGTGCAAGCAGGCATGCAAGGAGGAAGATCCTAGCCCTTGATTAAAGATGGTTTGGAGGTTGGTTTCATCCAATGGAAGGAAAGGGGTGTCACACGGATTGATGAGGTGGCAATGGAGTAGCCCCTACTCCTATCACTATAAATACCCCTCGCTCCCTCTCATTCAAGACACCAAAGAGGAGCTACTCATTCTACACTTAGGCAAAGCCCTCCTCTACTAGTAGCTTAGAAAATAGGGAGAGAGTGAGGAGAGTGTGGAGGAAGTCCTAGGCCTGTCGGGAATCTCCTCCAAGTAGTGCCTCGGCGGATGCGACCTTTTCTGTAAGTTAGCATCTGAGATTCTTTTGTGGTAATTTATCCTTTGTTTGGGTAAAGTGTTTACTTTTGTTGTTCATTGGTTCACTACCCTTAACCTAGTCCTCTAGTCAAGCTCACCGAAATACGGATTAGAGGAGTAAGATATAGTGTAGACGTGGTGTCTAGATTATACGCTTACTTGTGTCTATGACTTGCTCCACGGTTTGTTTGTGGTAGCTAGTAGGTGGTGACAGCCCTATCTGGCCTTTGAACCCACCACATTCGGGCAAGTTCTTAAAACATAGGACTTCTTGTGTGTTGGCGGTCCTTAACGCCTAAATTTAACTGCCAAAATCCCGCATAAAATCCATTTTTTCGAAACACCGAACTTAGTATAGGGTTTATAACTAACGAATTCCACAAGTTTTGGTGTATATATGTTTTGAAGGACACATGTTTGATTATCAAGGAAAACACATTCAAAATGCGCAAAGGGATAAAGCGTAAGGCCATCCTGCGCAAAGCAAAAGAGGGAAAAGGCCCACCAACCTGATACAATTGGGCCCCAAACTCACATAGGCCCAGCAGGTGACCCACCAGAGCAAGGCGATCATGGGGCGGCTCCACCAGGGGACGGCCGCACCCAGGGTGCGGCCGCACCCCCAGCTCCACCGCCTCCGGCGTACCTGCACGTGGGCCCTCTCATCAATGCCCCAAGGCGGTTTTGTGCAGGATCCCCCGAATATTCTCTCCGCAACCGTCATTTGGAGGCTATAAAAGGAGGAGGAGACCCCTCCTCTCACACATCACAAGGGTTTTCCTTACTCTATTTGCCAAGATGTAAAAGTAGTATAGGATTAGTTGGGAGTGAGAGAGAGATGCTCAAGTTCTAGAGAAGTCCTCGGAGGTTTGGTATATTCTTATATCATTTCTTTGTAAGACTCGAGTATCAATATATTTACCTTCTCTAATTACTGAAATATCCTTCATGGTTATCTAGTTCACACCTTAGTTGGTTAGCTAAGTGTGGTTAGTATAGTCGTTTTACACTTTGGCGTGGGAATTCCTCTCGACCGAGTGCTCTAGTTATCATATGTCGCTAGAGTAGTAATCGATAGTATAGACGTGGTGTCTAGACTATAGGTTACCTGAGTTTGCGTCCTATTGGCGGTCGTTAACTCAAATATTTCGACCACTAAAAGATAATAAAATGACAACAAATAAACATATATCTAAAGTAAGATAGATCTTTATGTGACAAGTTCCACAAGTTTTAGTGCTCTCGAGCTATTTTGCAAGACATGCCAAAAATGCACACTAAATGGTATTATACGGAGCAGCTACGGTCGTGGTGCAAATATACCTTGCAAAGGGATTTAATCAATCATCACCATGAGATTTGTGCACATAAATATACATATATACCGAGGGAGTATATATGCATATACGTAAGAGCAAGATATATGAGGACAAGCCACCAAGTCAACGTGTATATCCCCTCGGTCCGAGAATAGATGACGCCATTGGATGTGTGTAGGTTAAACTTTCTCAACTTTGACTAGGTTTATAAAAAATACGTGTAACATCTATGTCTCTAAATAAGTTTATTATAAAAGTATATTCAACGATCTATCTAATGATATTAATTATGTATTATAAATATTAATATTCTTTTATATATAATTAATCAAAGTTAAAAACATTAATTTCTTGAAAAACAAGAATGTCTTCTATTTTAGGACGGATGAAGCAGCTTATGATGGCCTGATGCAATAGGGGACTCCCCAAATTACGTACAGCTGCAGCTTGTGGGACCAGCACAGCAGCAGCTGCTCTGCTCGTTGTCCACACAAATGTAGACGGGCCCCCACCTGCTCCCCATGCAGGAGCCCGCGACGAGAATGGCCAATCGGCCTGTGCCTCGCAGGGAGAGGCAGGCCCAGGCTCAGCGCCTGGAGGCGTCCGCGCCAGCACGAGCACGACCGAGCGGGAGCGCGCGGTTCGCCCCGGCCGGGCCACGTGCCCGATGCTGAGAGGCCAGGCGGAGGCGGTAGCGCGGTCCACTCGTCCAGACGCCGATTTTGGCCCATAAACTCGCTGCATCGCCCCAGAAGCCCGGTTTGGCTCCGGTTTTCAACCAAGGACGGTGGGAAACCTTATTGCTGCGAGGTTTTACGGCAACTCCCCTAGGAGGCATTAAACGAGAGAGGAAAGCTAGGAATATTCCTTGAACCTTTAGAGCATATCCCCTTTCCTCTCCATTATAAATAGAGACCTTCTGCCTTACTTTTAGACACACACCACAAGGGCTCTCCTCACTATTTGCCAAGATGTAAAAGTAGTATAGGATTACTTGTGAGTTAGGGAGAGATGCTCAAGTTCTAAAGAAGTCTTCGATGGTTTGGTATATTCTTATATCATTTCTTTGTAAGAGTCGAGTATTAATATATTTATCTTCTCTAATTACTAAAATATCCTTCATGGTTATCTAGTTCACACCTTAGTTGGTTAGCTAAGTGTGGTTAGTATAGTGGTTTTACACCTTGGCATGGGATCTCCACTCGACCGAGTGCTCTATTTATCATATGCGGTTAGAGTAGTAATCGATAGTATAGACGTGGTGTCGAGACTATAGGTTACCTGAGTTTGCGCCCAACCCCACGGATAGTTATGGTAGCCCCAGAGGTGATAGCTCTAACCAGGCCTTTGTAATCCATCATGTTCGGGTTGGTGTTTTCGTCGAGCTTTTGGCAGCCTAACCCCAATCACTCCTTCCCAGTCTTTTTCGAGTATCGAAAAGGTACTGCTGCTCCAAAGTATTCTTGGTGTGATCGCTATGTCTGACCTTTGCTTAGTTATCTTCTCTAGTATGAACTAGAATAGAACCATCGTAATAGAAAAGTGTATTCGAACCTTGAACACACCCGTTGTCCTCCCAAGCTTAGCATGTCTACTCTTTTATCTTACTTTGGAGTTATCATGTGTGTGTCATTTATATAAAACTCCTATCTTTATCACTTACCCCCACATTAGTCTAGACGGTATACTAGTTAGTGGATACATGATGGTCAACTATCAAGTTCTTTAACCGTTGCTTCCCTAAGGACAAATACGATACCCTGTAATACTCCTGGGTGAAAGCTACAACGGTATCGATACGCTTGCGGATTTCTCTGTTTGTGATAACAAATACCAACAAGCTTTCTGGCGTCATTGCCGGGGAAGCAATTGGCGTAAATATTTTGATATTGACCTTGATATCTGCTAACCTAGTTCGCCACTAGCTTTTATGGGATTATCCTTGTCCTGTTGAATGTGGAATAAACAGGGCAACACTAGCCGTTCGACCTTCCAGCACATTTCCACAAGAAAAAAAAGAAGAATCATCACGAGCCCAGGGTGCCCGATCATTCATGAACAATCAACACCTCCACCCTGCCATCTCATAGAATGGTATATACATAATAAGCATGTGCAAATGAAGAGAAGGTCGTCATCAAGAGAAAACAAGACCATCATATGTGACGGAACAACTACATTGCATCACTCACAATTCAATCACAAATTATGGGTGATGGATCGATCAAGGTATGAGAGAACCAACTAAAAAAAATATTTCCCATTTTTATTTCCTTTTCACCACTGCATGTTTGCTTGCTTCATCAAATATCTAGTGCTATCTTCGGGTGGCTCCTAGACTTTGAGTTGTATTCGGACGCTACGCCTAGTCTAGGTAGATGGCAAATTTCTTTGTGATCTATCTATTCGATGCTATTAGTCTAGCTTCATAGTAGACGGATGTTAAATAGGACCATCGGAATCATATGTTGGCTTTGCTAGTCGGTATGATATCGTCAGATGGTCCGCGCTACGAGAAAAGGCTAAAGCCTAGATTTTCATGCATATCACTCATTTAATTTCCTTTTAAAAAACATG